GAGCAGAGCCACATAAATCCATTTTTATAGCCAGCACTTTTACAAGCAGTTTCAAGAAGTGATGTTTAAGTTAATGATGCAATGTGGTAAAGTAATATAAACCATTAGCTAAATCAGGGGTCTGAGCCACACAGCCCAGGGCCTGTCTAGCCTTGTTTGGCTGTATGATGCTAAGTATCTGAAATAACGGTTCTTCCCAATGTATGTCCCACATTGAGATTCCATGGTAAGACTGCCAGCTGCTTTCCCACCAGCATGCTCTCCCTGTTCCTTGGTGATACACCCTGATTATTAGCTGCACCCACTGCACCCAAAACAAAATCCTCCATCTCCCAGCCTCTCCTGTACTAGCCATGGCTATGTGATTTCATTCTGACCAAATAATGCAAGCAGATGTGTTATGCTGGACCTCTGAGAGATTCATGGGAGACAACTTCTGTGCTTCTGCTTTCCTCCTCCTCCAGGCTTGTGACTTAGACCAAATAATAGCATCCTGAACTATAAGGCGACCCCTGAGGATACTAGCCATGTGCTGGGATAATGGAGTGAAAAATAGGAGCCTGGGTCCCTGAGGACACTGTGCAGATGCCCTAAAACCCCCCAGACTTCCTTTCAAAGACAAATGAAGGCATACCTTGTTTTGGCTAATGTTACCTTGTTTTGTTCTTTTTAGGTTATGTACAGTCAAGCCTAAGCTTACTGAAGATTACTTATCAACATAGGATGCTGCCCTGACCGGTTTGGCACAGTGGATAGAGCGTCGGCCTGCGGACTGAAGGGTCCCGGGTTCGATTCCAGTCAAAGGCATGTACCTTGGTTGTGGGCACATCCCCAGTGGGGGGTGTGCAGGAAGCAGCTGATCAATGTTTCTCTCTCATCGATGTTTCTGACTCTCTATCCCTCTCCCTTCCTCTCTGTAAAAAATCAATAAAATATATATTTTTTTTAAAACCATAGGATGCTATATGCTATTCACATTTCACTGCCTCTAAACAGCTTATACTTTTTAAAGTAGGTGATCAGGATGATATAACATTTTAATAAATCACTTTTTTGCCCAGTGGTGTGGTTCAGTGGTTGAGAGTTGACCCATGAGCCAGGAGGTCACTGTTTGATTCCTGGTCGGGGCACGTGCCCCTGTTGCAGGCTTGATCTCCAGTTGGGAGCATGCAGGGAGCAGCCCATCGATCATTCTCTCTGACCACTGATGTTTCTATCTTTCTCCATTTCCCTTCCTCTCTCAGAAATCAATAAAAATATATTTTAAAAAATCACTTTTTTGCCGAACCTTTTGTAATAGATGTTTATCATCAATTACTTTTTTTTTTTTCCAACAAGGACATTCTCAATATATACATATTCTTTTCTCTAGAGGTTCAAAGTCAACTAATACATATAATTTGCAGAATTCTGCCCTCACATGACAGTGACCCAAATCTAACTCTCTGGAACCCCTAATGAAAACCAAGGAAGACAGGCCAATACCCCCAGGTCTGCAAAGTACAAAGAAGTTGTGACTCTCCAACTGGAGACAAAGAAGTGGCATAACATTTTAAAAACGATTTCCAAGTCATGTACACACAGCAATGAAATAAGAACAGTGTCCTGCAGCCTCCTGTTGGATATGCTGTATACGACCACAGGCAAACAGCCAAGGAGGTCAATGCCAAGGAGGTGCCCTACCTCACCTGTGAGATTTATGGGGGCATCAACATCAACACCAACCATGCAGAACAATGAACCTTACACACTTCTGGACATCAATTATCTCCTGCCACAATACACTGCACCGAAGGCCCCCCCTTGGCAATCCTGGTGGCGAGCCGGCACAGCCATGGCATACTCAGCCCCACACTGGGCGCCTTATGTGCCGTGCCAGCTCAGCCAGGTTCAGTGACCCTGAGAGGGGGCGGTGAAGGATGGAGAAAAGACAGACAAGAGAATGAAGCTGAGTATGGGTGGGACGCTGCCTCTCTGATGGAGAGCTAGCAACAGCGCCACGGACTACAAGCCGTGTCTTTATTTCATAGCCGGATTCCACGAGGCAAAGTAAGGGCGTGGTCAAGATGTTTACAACATTCTCGTGGGTTTTGATCCTACTCAATTACATGCACCTGAACTCTATCAAGCCCACATCACTCAGGCATGTGGGGCCACGTGTTCGGACCTTAGGTTCAAGCTTACACTACAGCTGTTGGCTATAATTGTGCTGGGAGGGCTCTGCCCTCCAAGCTGGGACTTGCACGTGGCCACGAGAGGACTGTGCCCTCTCATTAGTCCGAGGCTTGAACCTGTCCAAACACTGTAACCACTCTCCACAAATCCTAAAATTCACTTAAGGACAAAGAAAGGACCAGGGCTTTGTCTCCTGGATGACAGAATGACATTCAGGTCTCTTGCCATCTCCTGCAAACACAGCAGAACCTTGACAATTTAGCTTTTCCTTCACAAGAACCTAGACTTACAAATACAAATCTCATAAGGTAAAACCTTGTATTTACAGCTTGAAATTATACCCAAATTTAAAACTTCATAGAAGAAATTATTAACTTTCACAATTCCATCATCTTAGCCCAAATTTTTAAATGGGCTCAATTATGTAAGGTTAAAGCACTTTGCTTAATTCTCCCAGCATGATCCTATCTAATATAGAGGGAATATGCTAATTGACCACCACACTGTCGCAAAGATGGCGGCGCCCACAGCCAATAAAGAGGGGATATGCTAATTGACTGCCCCATCCACAAAATGGCTGGCAGGGGAGGGCAGTTGTGGGCAATCAGGCCAGCAGGGGAGGGCAGTTGGGGGGACCGGGCTGGCAGGAGAGGGCAGTTGGGGGCAATCAGGCTGGCAGGGGAGCAGTTAGGTGTCGATCAGGATGGCAGGGGAGTGGTTAGGGGTGATCAGGCTGGCAGGCAGAAGCAGTTAGGGGCAATCAGGCAGGCAGGCAGGCAAGCGGTTGGGAGCCAGCAGTCTTGGATTGTGAGAGGGATGTCCGACTGCTGGTTTAGGCCCGATCCCTGTAGGATTGGGCCTAAACCGGCAGTCGGACATCCCCCGAGGGGTCCCAGATTGGAGAGGGTGCAGGCTGGGCTGAGGGACAACCCCCCCCCCCCCTGCACAAATTTCATGCACCGGGCCTCTAGTAAGGATATAAGAAAAAATAAAATAAAGAAAATTCAGCTTCTTTATCATTTGTTTGTACCAACACATCTGCTTATTCTTATCCCATCATCCAAAGCAATCTCTAGGTAGAAATCACTTTGAAAAAGGGTCACCAAAAGTTTTAATTTCTTTAATACATTTAAAGAACAGAATTTTGAAAGCCCATATGAAAATAATCATATGGTAAAGAGACAGAATAATGGCAGAAGGAAAAGAGAAATCAGGTTTTATTTTATGGAACTTAAATCCTTCACATGCATTATATCTAAAATACATACCCAATGTTTCATACTCTCACAAGAATGAATTTTCTATTATTAAAGGGGAAGAGGGTGCAGGTGGAAGAGGTAAGTAAGGGTAATAAAGGCTATTTACCGGGGGTTAGGGGGTCAATCGGGAAAAAAGGAGACATGTAATACTTTAAACAAACAAAAAAAAAATAGTCAGTTTGGCTCAGTGGATAGAGCACCAACCTGTGGACTGAGGGGTCCCAGGTTCGATTCCGGTCAAGGGCACATGCCCAGGTTGCGGGCTCGATCCCCAGTTGGGTGTGTGCAGGAGGCAGCCAAGCAATTCTCTTCATTGATGTTTCTATCCCTCTCTCCCTTTCCCTTTCTCTCTGAAATCAATAAAAATATATTTAAATAAATAAAATAAATAAATAAAGGCTACTTAATGTAAATTGGAAAGTATATAAACCATATATGCTCTGGAAATGTCTGCAAGAAATGCCAAATGTAATAGTTATATTCCCTGAAAGAAAGCATTATGGGTTTCTTTCAGTACAAGGGCCGACACACTATCCACCCTCTATCCACCAAGTCAAACCGGCCCAGGCTAAAATGCATTACCTTAAACAGATTCACAAAAGCATCAACAGAAAAGTAAGCTACCTCTGGAACAGCCCGGAACAAAACAAAGCCTGAAGGCTTTCTGGGCTCAAAGCTGAAGGATACAGAGAGCGTGAAGTTCCTGGGCCCACCTCACCCCCGAAGTCCTAAGACCCTCCTCCCTGGACAGGGTGCTCACAGTGACCATTTAGCACACTGGATCCTCTTTCCCTCACAGTTTAGGCAACAGAGAACACACATGACCACACAGAAGAAGCATATTGCCAGTACCTGCGGATTCAGCCAAGGAAAGAGACTCAAGTGTCTACCGACTCACCATTTTATTATGTCTAACACTTGCTTTATGATCCAGTTTATGGATTCTGGGTGGTTAATAAAGTTGCCTCTCAGTTTCCTGCTATTAAACACTAGGAAGTTATGACAATTAATTAACACTGCCCCTAGGCTATCAGGAGGTCTGGAAGCCGACCAGCCAGGTCCTGCTCTCCAAGTTGACACTGAACCTGAATGGGCCTCACAGCTTACACCACATGCCTCCTCTTCCTCAGAGCCCCTTCTCTAGTGGGTGCCTCAAGCTGGCTGTCTAGACAGAAATACAAACAGGTGGTATAGGTTTGCTTTACCTGATGTTCCACGAAAGAGGAAAAGCCCTTTTGTGGTTACAGACACACTTCCCTCAAGCGGAAAAGTAAATCTATGTCGTCGTTGTTTTTTGCACAGTACATCAGAATTACACATTGCCAAACTTACCTGCTAATGGGAGCTCAGAAGTGTCCCAACCCCTCAGGCACCTTATTCTTCTCGTCCTAAACCAATTTTCCTGGCACTCACTGCAGCCCGACATCTCAACTCCAGGATGGAATGGTTTTAAGCAAGCAGTTTTCATTGCCCACTAAGGTTCCTTTAGGAATCTACGTCAACTGATGCCCTGGACCGAGTCTGAACGTGCTCTCAAGCCCTCCAGCCCCATCCCTTCATACTCACTGTTGCTGGACTTAAGGTCGCGGTGGATGATGGGGACAATCGCCTCATCGTGTAAGTAGTTCATCCCTCTGGCAATCTGCACGGCCCAGTTAACCAGGATGTCGGGGGGAATCCTCTTCCCAGATAGCACTCTGTTCAAAGGTCCTCCACGAGCGAACTCCATGACCAAGCAGAGGTTGGGTTCCTTCAGACACACCCCCCTGAGAGCAATGATGTTGGGGTGCTTCAGCATGGCGAAGAGCTTGGCCTCCTGGCGAACATTCTCTATGGTCTGGCTGATGTCCTCATCGGGGTCGTGGCGAGCTGCTTTCACGGCGACCTCATCCCCTATCCAGAAAGCACGATAGACCTTCCCAAAGCCCCCGATGCCAATAATCTCTTCCAGGGTTAGCTCCGCAAAATCAATCTCTAACACTGGGAAAGAGGAGGGAGAGAGAGGCAAATCAAAAACATTCCGAAAACACCATTTAATCACCCATTTACCCGGATGCGTGAACGCTGCAAGTTGTCTCTTCATGAGGCTTTTCTGTCTTCCTATTATAAAGTCAACTGCATAAGGGCAGGAAATGTGATTACCTTACGCTCTGCTGCCTTATGCTTTGTAACTGGCACACAAATCTTGGGCTGAACATGGTGCTGCTATATGAGCAAAGTGCTATTGTATGTTTTTTTCTATTCTATTCTATCTTCTCAGTCTCATCGTCTTTACCTGGCTTACTCATTCTCATCTCTCAGCTTAGTAGTTTGGCTAAAAAAAAAAAAAAACCCAATGGACACACACACACACACACACACACACAAAAAAAAAAACTTTGCTAAAAAACTAAGAAGACAAAAATGTATTTCTGAACTTTTGGCAAGACCAAAAGAGGAACTGCCCACTGCTTCCTTCCACAGCCAGCCCCATGATGCCGCCATTCTCCACTCAGATGCTGGTGGTGCTCCAAACTCTGTTCTTGCTTAATTATGGTGTTTCTATCCCATGTGGGGCTGATATTCACTTGTATTTTGTAATGCAAGTGGCAGTCTGCACAAAGGAAACTCTTAGGAAAAGTTAGCTGTTTTTTGGTATACAAAAAGTATGGCCCATCTTGACTCCAAATGTTCCAAGTGTTCAGGCTTATCACCTCATCGGGTACTCTCCCCAAAGAATATATGGTGCGGCAGGTCCTGCCGACTAGCAATCAGCATCCATTCTAAAATCCCTCCAGCAGGCCTTTCAGTTCTACAAAAGCCAGCAAGCTGAAAACTACATTTCCCAGACTCCCTGACAGCTAGAGTTCTGGATGCAGATCAGGTTCTGCGTTAGATGCAGAAGATTTGGAAGGCAGAAATGAAATGGAGACCATCTTCTTGCCGCGTCTCCTGGCAAGCAAGGCTGTGGAGAGGTGGCGTTTTTCTGCAACAGCGAGTCAGTGTCCAATCATTCGCTCTGTGGATGAGGAGAGGCATGTTGCAAGGCCAAGTGGTTGCCTAATCCTGGACTGCAACAACAACCGGGCGTTCTTGAACTCCACCGCTTCAATGACAGCTCCTGATTCTGTGCCTTCCCACTGAGAGAAGTAGCAGCCGACCCGGTGGGCCGGGTCTGCAATGTTCTTGGAGTTTTTCCGACAGGTCCACCTGAGAATCCCTTCTCCCTACCCTCCCAATCGTTCTGTAAGCATCTAATTTCCTGTACTAGAGCACTTTCTACTTTAAATAGCTTGAGTGTTTCTAGGTCCTAAAATGAAACCTGACATTACTAATGTTTGCGTTATCTCGTCTATATGAATGGGGGGGTGGGGGGGGGGGAGAAATGCCTATGTTAAAGACAGGTTAGAAACCCTTTTGGAGAAACATATAAGTTATGTTAGGAGTCTCCTGGGTCATGGAGGGAAGGAAAGTTCATTGTTTTCTACCGGTTTTTATGCTGATGAAAAGATATGGGCCTATTTAACAAATTCGTATTTACACATCTTATTTCTTTAGCGGAGTACCTGAATTCTTAACGGAATGAACTGTTGTATTTTCTCTTCTACCCTGCCTTCTTCCCTGGGACTGAAGCATGGTTGTGAACACACAGGAGGTGTTAAATATTTATTTAAATGTATGAGGGTTTTAAAGATGTGATTCTGAACTAGGGTGCTGAAAGGACAGCTCCACGGGTGGCGTTTTGCGGAAGACAGAAAACCTCTGTGGGGAAGGCAAAGCAATAAATAGTCTTGCTCTGGGTAGGACATAAACTCTCAGGTTCTTGCTATTTAGTTAAGAAAATATTACGACCAAACTTAAAGAAAAGTATAGAACACAGCTTACAAGCAGATAGAAGAAAGAACAGAGGGGGGTGGGGGCAAGGGAGGAAGGGACTTCTTTTCCCTTCCCTTGGAAGTAAGAAGTTTCTTGGAGTAAGAACTAGACCAGCGGTTCTCAACCTGTAGGTAGCGACCCCTTTGGGGGTCGAATGACCCTTTCACAGGGGTCGCCTGAGACCATCGGAAAACACATATATAATTACATATTGTTTTTGTGATTAATCACTATGCTTTAATTATGTTCAATTTATAACAATGAAAATACATCCTGCATATCAGATATTTACATGACGATTCATAACAGTAGCAAAATTACAGTTATGAAGTAGCAACGAAAATAATAACATGAGGAACTGTATTAAACGGTCTCGGCAGTAGGAAGGTTGAGAACCACTGAACTAGACCTTCAGTTGCGCTGAGAGAATGTGGGGCTCTCCTTCCGTTCCCTGCTCCAGTCAAGACCTGGTTTTAAGTAAGAATCAGGTCAAGTCGCACCCAACACATTTTTCAGTTTCTTTGGAAGGACATATCCAGGAATATCAGGAACAAAACCTTATTTCTTTCATTTTCGGAGTCAAGATGTTCTTCGCTCTCAATTGTATCCTTGAAAATGAAATGTATAGGCACATTCTGGTGGGTTTTGGCAAGTGAATGGTACGTATCTCACTCATTTAAAAATCTTAAGTACATATAAAATGCATCCTTATAAGAAAAATAAAGTAAATTAGTCAGACAGAACCTTACTTGAAAATAGACACGAAAACAGACACAACCTCCTGTAGGAGAAACGTTTTTAAATGCCTACCTATCTCCCAAGATAAAACATATGGAACTACATCTAAGAAAGATGAGAGACCTCCTTGGTGATTTTTATTTCTCAGCTCCATGAAGAGCTATACGCTAATATCTACATTGGAGGGGATAGAAGAACTATTACATTTTTCTTTGTCATAAGATTTAGTAATTTCCACTTTTTTTAACTCTTTTGTTTTGAGTAAAGTTTGAAACAGAATTTTCCCTCTGAAGCAATATTTAAAACTAAAACAGATCATTATTAGTGTCTTCTATTCGCAGTCTAACATCACAATTCATGCCCCAGATGGGAAGTTCAAAAGGGTAACAGGGAAAAGTTGTCAGTGGCTCAACTTCATTGCAAATCTTTGAAGAAAGGCTGTCAATCACCTTTTATTTCTGAGTGACACTACCTGAACTGGTGGACATTAGCCTACAGGTAGGAAGCACACCGGTCAGCAACTTGCCCTGTTCATCTTTACCAAAGTGCTGTAGTGAAATTATTTACATCACTATCTCCCTCGTGTGTGACTACAAGCACCTCTTGATCGTTTCTTTATCCCTGGATATTTAACACAGTAGCCATTCTCCACGGGGCCCTCTAATTACTTTTTGACTGGAATTACATTTTCTGAATTATCAAGAATTAACTCCAGGCAAGATCAGAACTCCTGACGACACTAAATAAAATAACTTACCAGGACCTTTCAAATACCATGTTCTTCAAATCAATTCTTTCAATAAGCACAAGGGACTGCCTACTTTCTCACCATCTGGGTTCTAGATATAAGAATCTAGTCTACGCAAGGTTACTTTTGTTACAATAAAATTAAGTCCCGGGCACCTAATGGAGAAGGAGTTTCTACAGTGGCACAGTGGACATGTCTGGCTTTCTGGGGGTGGGTGCTTCCAGCCTAAGTCTCATTCACTCCTGACTGCTCTGACAGCGGGGAGCACAAGATAGTAAAGAAACTGCGTTCCCGCTCATGAGCCTCACACAACCCTTCGGCTCTGGCCAAACTTAAAGAAAAGTATAGAACACAGCTTACATAATTAGCTGTTGCTGAAAAAAAAAAATCACAAACTTCACCCACTAAGAACCTCAAAATCTGACTTACATTTAAAACCACAGTTTTCTGATACACCAGACCATTCTTCCAATATTTCTCCCAATGTGTGACCAAGTTCATCTTCAACACTATTTCAGACACTAGCCTTCATCTTCCCAATACTAGTGCCAAAAAGACATAATGCCTAGAAACAGCATAAAGTAATTTGTTGCCACTAAGTACTATGAGATGCAGAAACAGGAACTTTTTAATTGAATGAGAGGGAGAGGGAAACAAAGGTAACTAAGGATTTGAACATCAATTGATAGTCAAACCACCGATACAAAAAGAGAAAGGAGAAAAAAACAGGGTAAGAGATTATGACTTTGATATTAAGTGGTGGTATTTAATAAATATCTTAAGATAATAACACAGTTGTTCAGGCGAAAATAAGTTACAGGGCCAGAAAATAACTTGTCATGAATGACATTTTAAAACTGTTTAAAACATTTAAGTTGGAGATTGGTGATGATTTTTTAAAAATCAGCGCTAAGATGCAAAGTGTACAAAATATGGAATGAGGAATGCTAAATATGCATCAACAATATTTTTCTTAACAGGAAGGAAATTATGGAATCCCTCAAATACAAATATAGTGTAAACGGTACCTGGAGATATCTACATCTTTCTACTAAAACCACCTAGCATCATTGATTGAGGGATTTTCATGGCAGCTTAAATCCTTTGGAAAAAAAAACAAAGGAAATTTCATTACAGGGTGTGGAACAGGGGACTCCTGGGAAACTGGTAAAAACCAGGACACTGGAAGGAAGGAAGGCCCTGGGAGGGACCTATGGGCATGGTCCCCCTGAGATTTAGCAAATACCAAATATAGGCAAGGATCTAGGATGAGAAGAAAGAAGAAAATGTATTGTCTTAGCATCCTAGGTGTCAAGGGACTGGGATTTAGCCACTGTGCCCTGACCTCCTGATCTCTCACGGGAGAATGACTTACTTTTGTCTCTCTCATCATTTCCCCATCCATCACCTGCCCCTCCACACAACAACACACCCTTCTCAGCACATTAGTATTCAGTGAGACTCCTGAAGGTACAACTTCTGAGTTACAAGATTAGCATCCAAGAAATCAACACGACATTTCAAAGACACTTCAGCCCTGAGTTCACACAGGCTTCCGGGACATGTGAGCCAGCCCAGCCCTGCGGGAGACAACCCCCAACTCCTTCAAAGCAAATGCCTTTAAGGGGCGGGGACAGAGGATACCAGGGGCCGGGAAGTCCTAGACGTGGGGACTAGGGTTACGACAGAAACCACCAGCTAGCTTGCCTGAAATCATTCCAGATATTTTTTGAGGGGAGGGGAGATTGGAGGAGGGGGGGGAGAGAGAGATTGGGGGGGCGGGGGGCGGGAGGGGAGTGGGAAATGGGGAGATTCTCATGCTGAGGCTTCAGGAAGTGCAATCAGGGGTTGCTGCTGAGGTGGTCAGATGAAGGTTGAGAAGCCCAAGCGCCGGAGGTTCCAGGCAAGGCCTGCGGGCGTCTCCATGGTACACACAGCACCCACCAAAGCCCTGCGGCCCGAGCGCGCGCGCCTACACCCAGCCCCGGGTCAGCCATCCCCTCACACTCAACCATCCCCCCACACTCAACCTAACCCTCGAGGGGGGCTCCCGTCTCTCCGCGATCACCCCCAGGCTCCAACGCCCCCCCCCCCTCACCGCCCCGCCAGGGTCCCGGGCCCCGCCTTCGCCTTACACTGAAAGGGCGGGTAGCAACTGGGGTCCTCGCCGCCGGGCTGGCAGCGGCTGGAGAAGGCGCTGCGCGGGGTCACGTAGTTGCTGGGGAAGATGCCCACCCGCTGGTTCAGCTGCCCGGTCCACCAGCCCTCGTCGCCGGACACCTGCGAGTCCTTGGACAGCACCTCCACCACGTCGCCCAGCCGCAGGGTCAGTTCGTCCTCGCCCGCCGCCTCGTACTCGAACACGGCGGTCCAGTAGGGCAGCGGCGCGTCGGAGCCCAGCTCCCCGGGGGCCGCCGCCGCCTCCTCCTCCTCTTCCTCCTCCTCCTCGGCCCCGGCCCCCGCTCCATCCTCCACGGCGGGGCTGCAGCGGCGGCGCTCGCCAGGCAGCCGAAGAACGCTCTCGAAATTTTAGTCGTTGTGCTTGCTTCAACTGTTGATTATCATGTTGCAGCACAAGGGTTGGAGGTAGTAAAGATCTGCACAACGACTTAAAAATACGTTGAACCGGCCAATTTGACGATGATATTGAATAATCTCGGGTCTGATTTGGCCATGCCATGGCGAGTCCGCGGGTACGTCAAATGATGC